GGGGGGGGGGGGCGGGGATTTTCAAGTTTCCGGTGGCTTGCAAGGCAGAGGTCGGGATCATATCATATCATATCCAATGGTGGCCCCTTTTGCTCGGCCCTTGTGAATCATACTAGAACGCGCGTCCTAAACACCCTGTTCTACTTGTGTGTGGAGGCCCCTGTATAGACAGCTTCTAGGGTGTCTGCCCTAAGCCCAGCGAGTCCTCACATAAACCCTAAACCCAAAAAGCCCTAAGCCCGGGACATGGGGTTGACAAAGGCCTCCATCGCGTACTGGCTCTTCGGCTTGGCCTGGCACCAAGCAACCCGGTAGTTGACGTTACTGCTGTAATTACGGGCATGCCTACATACATACACGATACACGCACACACACACACACACACATATATATATATCTATAAATAACATTTACACATATATATATATATACATACACACATACTTTTTTAAACTATTGTGTGGACATGTTCGCTCTAAACTCAACAAGATTATGACATACAGACATACAGACATAGATAGCCGTTCGTATAGACATGTACATGTAACATGTACAAACCTGCATAAGGGTTCGGGTCGAGTGCTGTGCAGCAAACGGAGACCAAGGAAGATGCCCACCTTATCCGAGAAAGCTTCAACATGGACTGCGATCCCAACTTCGCACCCAGATAAACACTAAAGCCTAAAGTGATCACCTAAACCGAATGCTTCTGACCACTTTTGGGTGTGGGAGTGCGTGGGACCGTTTCGAAGATACTGCTCTCCAGGTCTGGATTTTCGAGATCATGAATGCACTCGGACAGCCCGGGTCTGATGTCTGAGGTGGTGTCCAATCATCAGGGTACTACGGTTGATAATATAAATCCTGCACTACCCATAATAAGGAATATGCCATAATTCCCATAGTTTCGTGTCCGTAAGGTAATGCAGGGTTTATATCATCACCAGTAGTTTCGAGGTCTCAACAAGAACCCTAGTTTGGAGAAGTACCGTTGTGGGTATTCGGGCTTACGGTGCGAGCATGCCGGCAAACGGAATGTTGCTACTGATGAGAGAAGCAGGAGAGGAAAGGATCTGCGAGGTGCTTGCGACTGGGTTGGCTGTGTTTCGCCCAATGAATCTGATTGCGCTGACTCATGTAATAGTGCTCAGTGAGGTTCGCGATTTCTCATGCCGCCAGGAACTCGGGTATTGCGTGCCAGGCTGCTATCATATCGAGTTGGTGAGCTGCCGTAATATCAGGGTTGCATAGACCATCAGGCCACCACCAGCCAGTTTAGATGCAGTTTGCTCCGGCAGACCTTCATTTCAAGCAGGGCCAACACGAGGTCTTGTAGTTTAGTCCTTGTGGCGGCATGTGTGTTTTATCTTTCAGATTATACCATTATACCATGTTGATCTCTGCACCAGGCGTCTGCATGCTTAGATTCGGAGCCTTTCGAACCAGTACCTAGCTTCCTGTGGACGCCTCCTTGATGTGTTCTTCTTCTGCGTATTCCCAGAGGTCCCAATACCCCTTAAATAAGCAATATACCTTGAAGCATAGGGGCCTTAATATTGAGATTTAAGGTATATCGGACTTTTCCTTCATTAAGGGGAATTGGGGCTCTCTGGGTTCTGAGTATTTTTGGCTTCACAGCCGACGCATCCTCCGGGGTTCTCGGGAGATTTTCATGCTCCCAGCTTCCCTCCGATCCTGATCCTGGTTGAGATGGAAAGGCTGGCTTAGTTCAAGGCAGTGGGGTTTAGCTTCAGGTAGTTCGGGCTCCTGAACCCTCGGCCTTATGCTCCTTAGGTTTTGTCTGGGCCTTGGGTTCAACTCTTCGGACCGTGCAAGGTGGTGATCAACACTGTTCACCAGGAAGAAGAGCAGCTGGCCCGGGTGCGGATGTAGTTGCGAAGGTTTTCCCGCCTAAACACGGACTCCAGACTTCTAGCAGGCTTGGACCAAGGAGGCAGCACCCTTTCCCAACTGAGGCTTGTGTTAGGCTTTAAAGAACGACCCCTCTGTGTGTGTGTGTGTGCGTGTTTATATCACTGACGTCGTGGTCTCCTCGGCGTCGCGTGGATAGCCGGCACCTGCAACGGATGCCAATGTAGCACAGCAGGAAGTCAGAAATGGCTGATCATGCCATAATCAAATTACAAACACCATCAAACACCAGAAACTCACGAGAAGCGAGAGCCAATGAAACAAGTTTTGAGATCGGAGCTTTCTCTTTTGCCTAGCGGCCTACCGGGCACTGGCTACCTGGCCATGGAGTTCGGCTACTGGAAGATCCGGGGTCTTGGAGCGCCCTTCCGCATGATCTTTGCGTACAAGGAGGTGAAGTACGAGGACAAGCAGTATGAAACAAACGAGGCTTGGTTCAACGGCCGTAAGCCGGAGATCCTGGAGATGAATCCACTAGCGAACCTCCCATACCTCGTGGATGGTGATACGTGCGTCTGCCAGACCAATGCCGTTTTTCACTACCTGGGCGAGAAGCTCAGCCTCAACGGCAACACTGAGGCCCAGAAGCTTCGCACCTCTGAGCTGCTTTGTGAGATCTACGATGTGCGCAATGGCATGATCGATCTTGTCTACCCTTTCATGGACATCTGTCGCAACGAGGAGGAGTTCAAGTCAAAGGCCGAGAGCGTTGTCGGCTCGCCGCCCTTTGGAAAGTTTGAAGCCATGCTTGCCTTGAAGGACAACGCATCCGGAGGCAAGTGGTTTGTTCTTGAGGACGGGCCAGGAACGGCAGATTTTCACATCTGGGAAATGCTGGACCAGCACAGGCTGCTTGCTGAGAGGATGGGTTCCCCTTCACTTCTGGATAAGTTCCCCAAGTGCAAGGCCTTCCACGGGGCTTTTCGGGCCCTTCCCACACTCCAGCAGTACTTTGCTTCTGACGCGTACACCTTGGAGATCAACAGCAAGCTTGCCGACGCCTACTTCCTCTGAGCCTTCCCTACCCATCCTCCTCCAGCTTCCACTGCACAGCTTGTCAGTATGACCCCTCAACGAGTGGTTTGTCAAGCTGTGCGAAAGTCTCTTCTGTGGAAACTCTTGTTCATAGGCTGACGTTATGTGGCAGCTTCTCAGAAACAGCGCCAAAACAAGCTGCCCCAGGGCTCTCGCATGCCCCCACTCAAAAAGTCAGGCCCAAAGGAGCTCCGAGTAGCGGCTTCGTCAACACCGGGTGGAGAGGTGCGGCAGGAGTTCCTCGACGCTCGTGCTCTCAAGGTCCTATCCGATGCTGCACGGCTACGTCGTTGGCATCACCTTTCATCTTGGCCAGGCTCTGAGGGTTACAGTTAGACACGTGCAGACTCAAGCCTGGCTTTGTGGATGCTTCGTTTCCGATGCTGAGGCAGCATCGCATTCGGTGCTTTCGTGATCGGATGCCTCAAGCTGGCAGCAGCCGCATGCCAAGAGCAGACACTGGCGTCGAAGGGTAAGCCAGGCCATTGCCATCGAAGGAAGTCAGGGTTGTGTATCTGCGGCGAGGCTGCTATGTCTTTCGTTCTCAACCAGGCCAGGGACGAGCCGTGATCTTAGCATGGGCTGGCGACGCTGGCGATAGGTTTTTGCTTGGTTTTCTGGCTGACATTTGGAAACACCTTTCGTCACTTTTCTCAGTGCCTTGGCGGAGCTATCTGCAACTGAGCGACTCAGGCAAGGTGTTCAGAGCACCGTGGCCCAAGTTCTGTGCTGCTGTTGCCTTTGCACGGTGGCCTGCATCGAGCGTGCCGAGCTCTCAGCCTTTGCCATGCAAAGCCAGAAGAGATGCTCCGGAAGCGTAGGTCGAGCATATGAACTCCAGCCCATGGGCAGGTCCTGAGTATGGTCAATGACCTGATCTACACGGACGTGGCGCTACGTTCGTGCGGCTATATGCAGGCAGCAGACCACGTGGTCAGCGTGGCCAGGCCCTCTGAAATTCTGGTTCTGTTTAGGTGCTAGGCTGACGGCTAGGACCCTGACGCGGCCCCGTAAGCTCTGTTGCCTTGCATCGCAATCATGTATAATCATGTCTGTGCGTGACCATGTCCAGTGGAGTTGGCCGAGGGCTCGCTGCCAACAAACTTTAGCTTCTGTGCGTTCAGAGGTCTCTTGATTCTGCTCAGCAACAGAAAACTAGGACGTTCAAGGCGCCAATCAGGCTACAATTTGAGCACAACGATGTACGATGTCCGATGATGTTCTCCAAGGCTGCATCCAATCCACTGACCTATGCGGCCATCAAAGCAGCTGCAACGGAACGCTGCTTATGGGGGTCCGGGTGTGGGAATTTCAACGGGCTGTAAGTCGGGTTAGATCTGTTGGCAGAATGTTTAGCATGTTCCGTGGCCGCGATGGTGCCCGGGAGCACGGACCAAGTGAGGGAGCGAGCCATTCATGCGGAACTCGAATTCCGAAGTATGTGATGCATCGATATATACACGGCGCAATCATTGCCCCGTCAGCAACCATCAAGACAGCAGCTTCTCCGCGGGAGCCTGGTCCATCGAAGTCGCTGAGGCCATGAGGTTTGTGGGCGTCACAATCATCGGCGGTTGCGGAACCTTCCTTTCCTACCAGGCAATGCGCTGCAGCGCCCTGCTTTGAGCTTGAATGGTGCATGATGGTTCCCGACGCAGAAAATGGTCTTAGGCTTATTCTGTCTGATTTGTTGTCTTAGCCATGGACCTTGACCTACCCTAAATCAGTGCTCCGAACTGGATTCAAGGAGGCATGACCTCCTGTTTAGACAGCGAAAGGATGGAAAACCAAGTTGAAGAACACATCCATTGCTTGGGAGGCACTTTCTTCCACACAGCTGCACAGGCAGCTGGACAGTGTGCCTGGCCCCTAGCCAAGTGCAGCTGCCTTGGGGGGCCATTGATTTTCTGGCGGAGTGGATAAGTCAACTCTGCCAAGCACCCCTTGTCCTCCTGAGAACATCTACACCCAGACCATAGGAAGGACGAAAGACCCAAAATGGTCTAGCTGTGTGCTTTTGCATCCGATCATGCATGTGAGCCGGAGGCGGAGGAGGAGGATTCACAAATAGGCAACGCCAAAGCAGCAACAACGACGGCAACAACAACCAAGCTAATAGCGAAGCGATGCCAACGATGACGAGTCTTTCTCTATTTTACCGTCATAGAGGATGGCGCGGGAGAGAGAGAGAGGGAGAGACATAACACTTGTAGATCTACCGCAGTAGAACTGTCAGCAACGTCACAGGCCCAGAACCCTTTTGACTTTCTATCGGTGAACTTCTTCTGGGGGGATGATGCATGACAGAGCTTGACTGTTCCATTCACCGACTTGCAGCTGACATGTCACGAAGAAGAACACTTTCAGCTGAGACGGGGATGTTGTAGTCGTGCCATGGTTTCCTACGGTGTTTTCGTCGTTTTTGCAACATGTCAGCAGCTTTCGACATGAGATTCTCCCTGACATCGGAGAACTCTGTGTAGCAAGTCCCTCCAGGTAGCAAACATCCTCCTTGGGGGAAGAATATTTGATGCACTTTTCTCCCGCCCTCAACTGAGGACGATGATGACTGTCGCACTATGTTAGTTAGTTGCCCTTATTGCAGTACAAACAGACAGCCATCTAGAGCGGAGGAAGCAATGTCCTTGAGAACATACATACTCCCTTGTCAGCTAACGTACACTACCTATCTGTCTTTGTTGGGAGTATTATGTTCGCTCNNTGCGGGTGGGCCTGTGGCCCGGGGGTCTTGACCGACCCCCATGCCCGGGAGAGAGAGAGAGAGAGAGACATAGTGCTCGGGACGAAAGAAAAGACATAGTGCTGTTGAAGCAATCATGCCTGACAAGTCGCGAGTACAGATGAATGCACAGGCAGCCACACGTCCTCCCAGGTTTGAGAACTCATCCACAATGTTGGTGACGTCCAACATCCTCGGGACTACTATCGCGCCCGCAGCACAGTGACGCAAATGAGTGTGGTCACTGTTTTCTGCTGCTAGCTTCCCTCCACGCTGCGAGTCTGCTAGCCCTTGTGATGGAAGAAGTGTGGCTCTTTCAGAACAAGTCATTGCCTCTCAGGGCAGGGCTGATTTGTTTCTATGTCGCGCTGGCTTTCATGGTGGTGCCGCGGCCTCATGTCGCATCACGCTGGCATGTTAGCCATGATCTGCATGGCGTAGTCAGGCTTAGTCGCAGCGATCGAGAAGTGCTGAGTTTCTTACTTATGTGCTACTACTCAGAGCTGGCAGGTCTGCAGGACATCATCGACTGTAAGATACCTCGGGTTCTGAGAGACTATGCGAGATTGAACGTTTTGAACTGGCCATTGCATGCCCTGACAAGACAGTTCGCCCCCATCCACATCACCTCGGTAAGCAGATGCACGCCTGTGTTGCTCCTCCGATGCTCTCACTCTCGAGGCCTCGGCTGTTGGTGATCTTTCATACATTGTCTGCTTCATTCCTGACGGAAGGATTGTATGTTCCGTGCAGATCTCTGAGTAGTTGACCGATGTCGAGTTGCGCCTGCATCACTGCGAACACGAGACACATAGCCTTGCACGTTGTGGAACGCAGACCGTGCTCCATGCATGTGTAGAAGGACAGCTACACCAGCGTGCCCAAAGCCATGGCATGCGGACACATCGAGCAGTTTCAGCAGCTTGGCCGCAGAAGCCTTGCAAACAAGCTTGTGACCGACACGACGATTTTCAATCGCTTTCACAATCCGTTGCAACCGCTGCTATAAAGTAGCTGTGACAAACTGAGACAAAGCAGCAGAGCCTCGCCCCACTAACTCTGAGATGCTGTGCTGTTTTCTTTTGTCAGCCCTCAAGACATGCTACCCCTGCTCGTGTCGTGCTCTTGTCGGAACAGTTGTGACTGTGATCTTGGTTTTTTTAGAAGTTGCTCACGATCTCCTTTGGCGCGGGGCACAAGCCTGGCCGCGTAGCATTGTAGCGTTTTAGGAGGTGCAGCGGCATGAACAAGTTACGCTGCAGTCACAGGGGTCGTGTATTGCTGGCCAGACCATGCAGGAAAGTGATAACTTGATTTTCCAGGTGCAGATGTTTGGTCTGCTCCACGTTCTGAACTGACCGTAAATGCAGTGGTCAGAGAGGACCTTAGCTATACGTCTGGCATTTGAGCGACAGCAAGGGCACCTCCCGCGATTTGGACAGCTTGGATCAATCTACAGGAAAAGTCGTTTAGCTTGGCAGTTGTACGGTTCCCTGGCTGAGAGACTGACAGAGAGAGTCTCATAGTTGCAGCAAACTCGGTCTTCCTGTCACAGGCTGGAGTTATTACACAGTTTTGGAAACGGTGTCGATGCCATTTCTCCCGACCAAGCGGCTTATCGTTTCATGAGTAGAGTCAGTTTGCAACCCCTATAGCCTCGCATCATGACAACATGTGCAGTCTAGTGGTCAACACTTGGAGGATCATGGGACTTAGTAAGTAAGGTTATAAGTACCCTAACTGGGGTTATAATTATAGTTACCTTATTTATAGCCCTAGTTACTAAGTCCCATGATCCTCCAAGCATGCGACCAAGTGTACCAACGTGTCGTACTAGTAGCAGAAAGTTTGTTGTGATGCTTGGAGTTCTGCTGATGACAGACCATGCGACAGTGCCAAGTGCAAAGAAGTCAACCATTTGTGGTGCTTCATGCGTCTATACAACGTTAATGCCGTTACAATAAGCCAAGATCTACAAGGGACGCCTCGCAATGCCAATGGGACTGGCCAAATTGGGTCACGCGTCCACCTTGTGAACAGCATTTTTGAGACTGTTGGGTGCTGTTGGGCTTCATGCCGAAGCCGGCTCACGAAGAGATATGTGAGGGTCCTAGCCAGGCGGGACACAAACAAAAAGAGATTTGTCCCGAGTTTCTAGACCTCCTTGTGCATGTTGTGTCCACACACCGCGCAAAGAATGTAATCAATCGCCATTGCATAGGCAGGGAGGTTGAACAAAACAACAACAATTCAGAGTTGTAAGAAACTGTGATACTGACAGCAAAGAAAGGAAAGGATCTATCAAGATCAGTATTAGCGATAGCCGTAGCAGCAACAAGTCGTAGTAGTCGTCTTGGTGGCCCGTAGTATGCTTACACCAGAGCGCGTAAAGTAACATGGGGCCAAAATAATTACCAATACTATTTTGGGGGCTCCTTGTTAGAAGTATAGTATCATGCGCCCCCAAACTCTATTCTGATTATTAAGGCCCCTATGTTACACCCCCGCTCGAGTCAGAACCATAAAACCCAAGGAAGCTGGAGCTAAATGGGCCCATTGAGCAGGACCTGCAGGAGTCCGGTTGCCTGCTGTGGCGCATTTTGGGGTTTAGGGTTTAGTGCTCCTGTCGTGCTATTGTTGCTGTTACTGGCTAGGTTCTCTTACTGCCATGTCGTTTCTCCACAGGTCGCATGGACTTGCATGTCGGTTAATCTTGAGTCATTGTCGCTTTTCCCATTTCATACATATGCACAGCCGACGGTGTCAAAACCCACGCTGACAACAGAAACAATATCAAACAGCAGCAAGAAGTGTGCAAGCACTTAATTCCAGTAGTAGCAGGAGCTTGCGAAAGCACGAACAGCGGCTGCAGCATGACAGCGCGAG